GAGGGGACACATGTTGGATGTAGAAGAGACATGAAGAAGAGGGGAACACATGTTGAGTAGAAGAGACATGAAGAAGAGAGGACACATGTTGATGTAGAAGAGACATGAAGAAGAGGGGACACATTTGTGATGTAGAAGAGACATGAAGAAGAGGGGACACATGTTGATGTAAGAGACATGAAGAAGAGGGGACACATGTTGATGTGAAGAGACATGAAGAGAGGGACATGTTGATGAGAAGAACTGAAGAAGAGGGGACACATGTTGATGTAGAAGAGACATGAAGAAGGGGACACATGTTGATGTAGAAGAGACATGAAGAAGAGGGGACACTGTTGATGTAGAAGAGACATGAAGAAGAGGGGACACATGTTGATGTAGAGAGACATGAAGAAAACAAAGAAAAGAAGGCCATGATAGAAGAGACATGAAGAAGAGGGGACACATGTTGATTAGAAGAGACGTGAAGAAAGGGGACACATGTTTGATGTAGAAGAGACGTGAAGAGAGGGGACACATGTTGATGAAGAAGACACTGAAGAACGGGGACACATGTTGATGTAGAAGACATGAAGAAGAGGGGACATATGTTGATGTAGAAGAGACATGAAGAAGAGAGACACATGTTGATGTAGAAGAGAATGAAGAAGAGGGGACACATGTTGATGTAGAACATGACGAAGAGGGGACACATGTTTGATGTAGAAGAGACATGAAGAGAGGGGACACATGTTGATGTAGAAGAGACATGAAGAAGAGGGGACACATGTTGATGAAGAAAGACATGAAGAAGAGGAGACATTTGATGAAGAAGAGACATGAAAGAGGACCATGTTGATGTAGAAGAGACATGAAGAAGAGGGGACACATGTTGATGTAGAAGAGACATGAAAAGAAGACCATGTTGATGTAGAAGAACATGAAGAAGAGGGGACACATGTTGATGTAAAGAGACATGAAGAAGGGGACACATGTTGATGAAGGAAGAGACATAAGAAGAGGGGACACTGTTTGATGTAGAGGAGACATGAGAAGAGGGGACCATGTTGATTTAGAAGAGACATGAATAAGAGGGACACATGTGATGTAGAGAGACATATGAAGTGGATGTTGGGGATAGGGGACCTTGAAAGACCCTCACCAGTCCTCGGGCTTGGCGGCGGCCGGGTCTTGGATCTTCGGCCTCTCGTCCCAGTCTTCTGGTTTCTGGTCGTCCGGGTCCTCGATCTCAGCGGCAGGGTTGACGGCGGGCGTCATGTCGCTCAGCAAGCTGCCGCTGTTCACCACCGTCTGATCCACCAGGACCTCGAAGCTGTTGTCAGGGTTCAGCACTAGGGGGCGCCACAGAGCACTCATTAGGTTCTTTGCATTTTAAGAAAATGATGGTGATTTTTTAAGAAAGAAAACAAATATATATAAATACTGCAAAGAATTTTTTATTTTAAATATTTGTAATTTTATTTATACATTTTCTCGTATCTCTAAGAGTCGATGTACTGCAAGGGTGTGGGTGTGTGTGTGTGTGTGAGTCGTACCCAGTGTGTGTGTGAGTTGAGTCGTACCCAGTGTGTGTGTGTGTGTGTGAGTGTGAGTCGTACCCAGTGTGTGTGGTGTGTGTGTGTGTGAGTGTGAGTGTACCCAGTGTGTGTGTGTTTCTTACCCAGTGTGTGTGAGAGAGTGTGTGTGAGTCGTACCCAGTGTGTGTGTGTGTGTGTGTGTGTGTGTGTGTGTCTCTCTTACCCAGTGTGTGTGTGTATGTGTGTGTGCCTTACTCAGTGTGTGTGTCTCTCTTACCCAGTGTGTGTGTGTGTGTCTTACTCAGTGTGTGTGTGTGTGTGTGTGTGTGTGTGTGTGTGTGTGTGGGTGTCTTACTCAGTGTGTACAGGTGAGTCTTCTTGTCGGTGAAGTAGGTCCTGAGGTTCAGCGTCAGGGTTTCTTGGCGTGTTTCTCCTCAAACTCTCCAGTTTTGGGGTTCTTGTGTCTGAAGATGAAGTGCAGCTTGAAGTCCTCTCCACATTTATCCGGTCCGAACATGATGGTGTACGGAGTCTTATCCGTGAACTGGTCCTATAAAACACACAGGTTTAATTTCTCAAAGTCTCCGTATTTCACAATAAGAGCTCTGCTTGCTTCAAAATAATGCAGATTTTTGGGAAGAAAAAAAAAAAAAAAAAATCATTCTTTATCTATTATAACTGTTTGACTGCAGATAATGTATGATTATTTCACAATAAGAGCCCTATTCACTTTATATTTCACAATAAGAGTCCTATTCACTTTATATTTCACAATAAGAGCCCTATTCACTTTATATTCCACAATAAGAGCTCTTGGTGTGTTTTGGTACTGACCAGGTCCAGATCTGGGGTCTGAGTCAGCAGCTTCACGTAGGCGCCGCCGCAGTCGAGCCCAGACTGGAAGTTCACCTCGTACCTGAAACACCACGACAGGAAGTGATGAGAACACCTGGCAGGTGATACAGGAAGTGTGTGTGAGAGTGTGTGTGTGTTGTTCTTACTGGATGATGAGCGGCTTGCTGTCGAACACGAAGGGGTCTCAGCAGCTGGGCGGAGATGGCGTGATGTTTGGCTCGAGTCTTCAGGACCAGACCTTTGTCTCCGGCCAGTTTGCTGTCCTTCATCTCCTCTACCACCCATTTACCTGTAAACAACATCAACAACAACAACAACAACAGGTGAGTTAATAACCAGATACTCTTCTGAGGGTTTTCATGGTTTATGTTGTGAATATACTGAATGAACTCTTCCTGTTGAGAGTACCATGCTAACAAAGGTACCCCAACTGCAGCTGTGAACATGACAGGATGTGTGATTACCTAGAAGAGCATCAGGACTGTTTGAGGCAGATGATAGCTCTGTGATTAACATGATGATTCAGCCTCTATGGAGAGAGACATCAAGCATGCTCATTTCTGAGGTGGAGCTAATCTGAAGTAAACATTGAATACTGCTTTCTATTCCTCCATCTTGTGACTGTGTAACTCCCTCTCTTGGATATCAGCATGTGAAGGACACTGTTCAGGAACTAGCTGATGCTTTGTATGTGATGACTCCTTCCATTCTGGAGAGGATCACAGACACATGGATCCTGAGGTTCAAGCTCAAGCCGGGGACCAGGGATTATTAACATTTTTGAAGTATTCAGAAAAAGTCAGAATTTTGAGATTTGAGAAAAAGTCCGATTTTATTTTAGATAAAGTCAGAATGTTGAGATGTTTGAAAAAAATAGTCAGAATTGCTGCTACTTATATTCTTGAGGATCACAGACACATGGATCCTGAGATTGAAGCTCAAGCCGGGGGACCAGGGAGAGTTTTTCTAACAGCATGTCGTGGTACACGCTTAGGGGGAAGGGTGGATTTCAATTACTTTAATTTGATCTTCTTTCATTTACAGAAAATGTTAATTATGTTATTAAAATCAGTTTAACCCGTTGATTGGGTGTGAGCATTCTCATTAATCAATATGAATGGAAGATTATCAGATAAAATAAGATGACCTTTATTAATCCCTTTGGGGAAATTCAGTATTTTAAACAACAGGGTGAGATGACACCAGTGTGAGCATTCTGTTAATCTGAAGTGGTTTTATATTAACATATTTGAAATCTATACATACCGTCGTATTTTTGCGATGTCTTCATCTGCTTCCTCCTTCTTAGCGCTGGACATCACCCAGCTGAGAACACACAGGTACAGTTTACACACCTGAACACACACACACACCTGAACACACTCAGACACACCTGAACACACACACACACCTGAACACACACACACACCTGAACACACACACACACTCTGCTGCAGGAAACACTGGAGAATTACATATCTATAATAAACATATTTGACTCTAAATCCCTGAATGACTGTGCTCACCCATCAAGCGTCCCCCGGTCAAAAGACTCAGCGATGAAATGTTCCCCCATTGGCTCAGGAGCCTTGTAGGTCACCTGACAAACAGGAAGTAGAAAGAACATTGAAAAAACTGCAGATTTATTCATTTATGAAAGAATTAAGAATAAAATTAGGTTTTTTTCTCCTTTTTTTCTGTCGAGGCTAAAAAGAGATTTGAGTCTGCAACCTTTCTGTCTGTGCTGGATTATGGAGGTGTGGTTTATATGAAAGCATCTTCTCAGTCTATCTACCACGGTGCACTGAGATTCATCACAAACGGCACAACTTTGGATGGTCTTCCCTGACGATCGACTCAAACACCGGCACATCCTTATATACAAGGCTATTCTTGGTGCTCCCCATCTAAGGACCGACAAACCCAAAATGAACAGGATCTTATCGGCTTCGCTCAGAGGATTTGTTTCTTCTAACTGTAGCTAAAGTCCGTACTGGGGAAGAGGTTCAGTTACGCTGCTCCTGGAGCAAGGAACCAGCTTCAAAGAGAGCTGAAAGTCAGAGAGCTGGCTCCTTTAAAAACAGACTAAAAGCGACTCAATCAATCAATCAATAGGATACGGCTGTAATAGGCCTGAGGCCTTTTAGTCGCTCATAAATAAATAAGTAGATCACTGATTCTTTATTTACTATGGATGCTGGCAACAGGTCACATAGTCCAAAGTGAAGGTGATGTTTTGCCAGTAGTGGTGGAGGCGGGATTTGAGACAGTAACCTTGAAGCCGCCGCTTAGTGTCTGTAAATGCTTTGCTGTTGTATTGACTGTGTTGTGATTGTGTTTTAAAATGGTCTGTAACTGTGCTGTTACCTATCTTGGGCCTAGGACTCACTGGACTTTAACACCCCACACACACCCTCAAATCCAGCACCAGGACACTTTTCCACGCTGCTATGGACAGTCTGCACCAATGCACATTATCAAAGACATTGAAGTGACTGTTTATTTTCTATTGATTCTTGTGCCTTTTATTTAGGTCTCAATTGTGTGTGTGTGTGTGTGTGTGTGTGTGTGTGTGTGTGCTTAATATATATACACACACACATATTTGTTTTTTGTATTGGGGATTGTGGGAAACGGTATTTCGATCTCTCCGTCTGTACACAAACTGAAAGATGACAATAAGTTAACTTGATTCTCTTGAAAATATATATTTGTAATCTCAATGAGACTTGAGTGGTAATGAAAATAGCTTATTATGGTTTCGTAGCATTCGCTCTCACCTGGGAATCGGAGGAGTTTTTGGGCTCAGCTGGAGCTTCTTCCCTGAGCGTCTCCCTCCATCATCTCGTCCTCTTCCTCTCCTGCAGCCAGACCCAGATCCAGCTCGTCTTCAACGTCCATCTCCTCCTCCAGACCCTCCTCCATCACATTCCTGCAGACCGTCCTGCGCCCCGCAGACAGGAGGAAGACTGAGGCAGACGAGCAGACCGCGAGCGGCCAGGAGAACCAGAAACTTCTGATCCATAGTCGCAGAATCAAGAGTCACTTCATTAGTCTCCCAGCGAGGACACGTACAGTCACTTCATTAGTCCCCCGAGGACACGTACAGAGTCCAGGGCTCGACATTAAGGACTGCCCGGGGCCATCTAGTATTTAGCTCGGGCAATGAAGCCTCACCTGCTGGTTGCCCGATCGTGTAATCTATTATGCCAGTCTCATGCAGCTCGCGGATCAGTAATGAGTGACCCGACAGTAAAACTAAACATATCTATAACTAGTTTAGGTAGTTTGAGAGGTAATTAAAATAGCTGCGTGTGATATTCTAACCTGAAGGGTGTGTTTGTTCCGCTCACCGCTGCATGTGATCATGCAGAGCTGCGTGTCGACTCGTCAGCAGCAGCTGATCTCTCTCTCCCTCAGATTAGACTCGCGTTTATGTCCATATCGATCAGATCCAGCTAGTTCTAGCTAATGATAGGACTACCTGCTTATTAAAAGACCCTAAACAATAAGTGTCGCTATGCAACCGGGAGGCCACAAAGTATAGCGCAGCATTATGCATTTGTTTACATGCCCACCGGAACCTCGAGGCATTACCAACAGATCAACGCACAATCAACCCATCCAGGACATCTCTTTCTCCACATTACGTGTTAGACATTAGAATTGACTCTTCTTGTCTGTCACATAAGTGGCGCAACTGAAGCGGTATTGCGCTAAAGGGAAATTATTTTGACCGGAGAGGTTTAGATTTGCCGGCTAATGGGAACTATGACGTCGCCATTTTGTGTGCTTCGCGGATGCGCTCGGCTCCTCTCGACTGCTGCTCGGGTCTGCTCGGTCAGCTTCCGGATGAGGAGGCATTCGTTTCAAACAACTTACAGTAGATAACATTACAAACATTTTTAACAGGGGCCATAATAGTGTAAATAATGTTTGTTTTGCAGTTACAAACTGAATGTAATGTTTTCTACTTTTATACATCTGGGAAGGCATCTGCCTTCATCAGATGGAAAGTGTCTTGACCAACAACTTAAGTGTTTCTTATAGCTATGCAGGGCATGAAGCGAGCAAACACAAACAACAAGTGAAATGAAGAATAACATTGAAATTGTACAATACAATATTGTGGTGGTTCATCTTATAATTCAGTTCTAGAGAATGCACCAGACAGCATCAAAGACTATGACAAAAATCTACATTTTCTAGGGGGACGGAGGCCCCCCAAACCCTTCGTGCCATTTCGTCCGCGCGCATTTTTTCAGCCGGCAATCTCTATTGGGCTCAGGGCCATCTGTAAATTAGCTTAGATGGCCCACAGGGCCATCTCCCAAAATCCTTAATGTCATGCACTGAGAGTCACTTCATTAGTCTCCCAGCGAGGACACGTACAGTACCCTTCATTAGTCTCCCAGTGAGGACACGTACAGTCCCTCATTAGTCTCCCAGCGAGGACACGTACAGTCCCTTCATTAGTCTCCCAGTGAGGACACGTACAGTCCCCTTCATTAGTCTCCAGCGAGGACACGTACAGTCACTTCATTAGTCTCCCAGCGAGGACACGTACAGTCACTTCATTAGTCTCCCCGTGAGGACACGTACAGTCACTTCATTAGTCTCCCAGCGAGGACACGTACAGTCCCCTTCATTAGTCTCCCAGTGATGACACGTACAGTCACTTCATTTAGTCTCCCAGCGAGGGACTCGTACAGTCCCTTCATAGTCTCCCATTGGGACCGTACAGTCCCTTCATTAGTCTCCCAGCGAGGAGACACTACAGTCACTTCATTAGTCTCCAGCGAGGACACGTTACAGCTCACTTCATTAGTCTCCCAGCGAGGACACGTACAGTCGCTTCATTAGTCTCCCAGCGAGGACACGTACAGTCGCTTCATTAGTCTCCCAGTGAGGACACGTACAGTCGCTTCATTAGTCTCCCAGTGAGGACACGTACAGTCGCTTCATTAGTCTCCCAGTGAGGACACGTACAGTCCCGTCATTAGTCTCCAGCGAGGACACGGTACAGTCCCTTCATTAGTCTCCCAGTGAGGACACGTACAGTCCCTTCATTAGTCTCCCAGCGAGGACACGTACAGTCCCTTCATTAGTACTCCCAGTGAGGACACGTACAGTCCCTTCATTAGTCTCCCCAGCGAGGACACGTACAGTCACTTCATTAGTCTCCCAGCGAGGACACGTACAGTCACTTCATTAGTCTCCCCGTGAGGACACGTACAGTCCACTTCATTAGTCTCCCAGCGAGGACACGTACAGTCCCTTCCTTAGTCTCCCAGTGAGGACACGTACAGTCACTTCATTAGTCTCCCAGCGAGGACTCGTACGTCCCTTCATTAGTCTCCCATTGAGGACACGTACAGTCCCTTCATTAGTCTCCCAGCGAGGACACGTACAGTCAATTCATTAGTCTCCCAGCGAGACACGTACAGTCACTTCATTAGTCTCCCCAGCGAGGACACGTACAGTCCCTTCATTAGTCTCCCCAGTGAGGACACGTACAGTCGCTTCATTTAGTCTCCCAGTGAGGACACGTACAGTCGCTTCATTAGTCTCCCAGTGAGGACACGTACAGTCGCTTCATTAGTCTCCAGTGAGGACACGTACAGTCGCTTAATTAGGCTCTCCCAGTGAGGACACGTACAGTCCCTTCATAGTCTCCCAGCGAGGACACGTACGAGTCCCTTCATTAGTCTCCCAGTGAGGACACGTACAGTCACTTCATTAGGTTCTCCCAGTGAGGACACGTACAGTCCCTTCATTAGTCTCCCAGCGAGGACACGTACAGTCCCTTCATTAGTCTCCCAGCGATAGGACACGTACAGTCCCTTCATTAGTCTCCCAGCGAGGACACGTACAGTCACTTTCATTAGTCTCCCAGCGAGGACACGTACAGTCCACTTCATTAGTCTCCAGTGAGGACAACGTACAGTCACTTCATTAGTCCTCCCAGTGAGGACACGTACAGTCCCTTCATTAGTCTCCAGCGAGGACACGTACAGTCCCTTCATAGTCCTCCCAGTGAGGACACGTACAGTCCCTTCATTAGTCTCCCAGCGAGGACACGTACAGTCCCTTCATTAGTCCTCCCCAGCGAGGACCGTACAGTCACTTCATATAGCTCCCAGTGAGGACACGTACAGGTCCACTTCATTAGTCTCCCCAGTGAGGACACTACAGTCACTTCATTAGTCTCCCAGCGAGGAACACGTACAGTCACTTCATTAGTCTCCCAGTGAGGACACGTACAGTCCCTTCATTAGTCTCCCAGTGAGGACACGTACAGTCCCTTCATTAGTCTCCCAGTGAGGACACGTACAGTCACTTCATTAGTCTCCCAGTGAGGACACGTACAGTCACTTCATTAGTCTCCCAGTGAGGACACGTACAGTCCCTTCATTAGTCTCCCAGTGAGGACACGTACAGTCCCTTCATTAGTCTCCCAGTGAGGACACGTACAGAGTCCCTTCATTAGTCTCCCAGCGAGGACACGTACAGTCAGCTTCATTAGTCTCCCAGTGAGGACACGTACAGTCACTTCATTAGTCTCCCAGCGAGGACACGTACAGTACCCTTCATTAGTCTCCCAGCGAGGACACGTACAGTCCCTTCATTAGTCCTCCCAGCGAGGACACGTACAGTCCCTTCATTAGTTCTCCCAGCGAGGACACGTACAGTCCCTTCATTAGTCTCCCAGTGAGGACACGTACAGTCACTTCATTAGTCTCCCAGCGAGGACAACGTACAGTCACTTCATTAGTCTCCCAGTGAGGACACGTACAGTCACTTCATTAGTCTCCCAGTGAGGACACGTACAGTCACTTCATTAGTCTCCCAGTGAGGACACGTACAGAGTCCCTTCATTAGTCTCCCAGTGAGGACACGTACAGTCACTTCATTAGTCTCCCAGTGAGGACACGTACAGTCACTTCATTAGTCTCCCAGTGAGGACACGTACAGTCACTTCATTAGTCTCCCAGCGAGGACACGTACAGAGTCCCTTCATTAGTCTCCCAGTGAGGACACGTACAGTCCCTTCATTAGTCTCCCAGTGAGGACACGTACAGTCCCTTCATTAGTCTCTAGGGGTGTAACGGTTCACAAACATTTCGGTTCGGTACGTACCTCGGTTTTTTGGTCACGGTTCGGTTCGGTACGTTTTCGGTACAGCAGAATTTTTTTTCACAGAACAAAACATATATATATATATTTTTTTTTTATTATTATTAAACTGTGAATAATGTATTCACTCAAATAAATACAAAATATAATAAAATAAACATTAAGGTGCAGCTTTTCGATGAACTGAAATAATCTGTATTTGAACTGTACTGTACTAGTTCCTAAGCAGCCAGTTTGACATTATGACTTGCTTGTCATTGTATTTTCATGTTTTTTTAAAGAAAAATTAACTTGTCCACATTGCTTGCCGAAAGGGCAGATCTGCTGGCACTAACAATGTCTCCTGCTGTGGAGAACACCCTCTCGCTAGGGACAGAGGTAGCAGATACAGCCAGGTAGCGCTTTGCTAACATGGCAACATAAGGATATTTGGCGTTTGTAATAGCTTTGGCTCGGTCTGAACTTTCTGCGAGTGGTGGAGCTTAAATGCTAGCGGGAGTTGGATTTGCACTTCAGTCTTTTACTTTTGGTACCGGTGATATTCACGTTCGGGTGATGCCTTTTCAAGAGTGTTGCAAGTTTGATGTATTGCCAGCCGCGTAACCAATTTTAGTTGAACAATGCTGACAAACAAGCTTTGGTTCGGTCCACCTGTCTTTGTCCTTCATCCTTGTACGTAACTGCGAAACCAAAATGTTCCCAAACCGGAGACTTCAATGATGCTGGAGGATTTTCGAGCTCAACTTTATCTGCGTTCGCCATTAATTTTCGACAGTTCCTCAAATTACTGACTAAATTTGAACGCATCCCTCTGACCAGCTCTCATAGTTTGCCTCTCATCCAATTAAATGACTTGCTCGCTCTATGACGCGTTGAACCCAATGTGACCAAA